TGCAGTTCCTACTATCTCATGAACAGATTATAATTGTGGGAGAAAAGCAAATTTAGGGATGTTATCAGGAAATACTTCTCACTCCAATAATGTAATTAATACATGTATGTGGATTTATGTGGCGGACTGAGCAGTTTTGTGGAAACAATCTTTAAAAAAACAGAGACTCAATTTGCAGTCTGAAATCAAAGAACCACAAATCTAGATGATAATATTTTTAAAAAAACATGGAATACCAGTAGACATAAAATGTAAGATTTATTTTAGATAATGTATATCGTTACTTCAATATTACAGACTCTTTCAGTACCTTTCCAGGGCACTCTGCATGCTTCTTGAAGTTTTTGCTTTCTATTCATTCCAAGAGGTAGTAAGGGCCATTAAAGAAACTGTCTGTCTGGCTCTTTGTAGCATGTATGGCTTGTCTTATCCACCTGACAATGGTAAAACAAATGTGAAATGCAGACAATTGATAGCTTCATTTAATATTAAAAATACTCTATTAAAAAGGGAATGTGGGAAATGTGAAACTTGCTTTATTCTAGTACGTGCGTTGCTACAGCCTATACATATGTAGATTACATTTAGGTCTAAAGTCAGACACGATAAGAATGCAGGGATGAATCTTGTGATATTTTGGCTGTGTCACTTTTGTTGAGTTTAGAGGAGGTTATCTCTCCCTGTAGCCTAAGGGGTTTTCTCATCCTCTCATCCCAAACTGATTTCATTAGCTACCTACCCACCACATGGCACCCTCTCATTTGACGCTAGCCTGATTCTATCACATGGCGTAGCTGAAAGAACTCGCCACTGCTGGGATATCCTGGAACAGACCGTAATTTCTGGCACAAATGCAATATTGAAAAGGACATTGTACACCCAGACAAGCAGTAGCGGTGAGGAGCAGCCCTCTGCAGCTTGTGATGTTTGCCTCCAACGTGTCAGATAAGGGGAAAGTGGCACCCTGTTTTGTGGGTGGATGGATGGGATGGTGCAGAGAGGAGGCATCCACTTCCTCCTGGACTGGCAATGGAGACCACAATGTGAAGGCTGCCTGAGCTCATGGAAGGTTATGGCTGGCAATGGGAGCACGATTCTCAGATTTTGACTCCAATGTCTATGAAGACAGAGAATCAGTAGTTAGATTCTGTTCTCTCTTTTTGCAAAATAAGAATCAAAAGATGTTGCACCATGTATAGTTGAATATGAAAGTAACTGGTTTGATTCTTGTTGGTAAATATCCATCATATCAATGAAGTTTA